ACACAGCAGTTGCGCGGCTTACAGTGGAGAGAACGCATACGTTTGTGTGCATTGCCTCAGTCGATGAGCGTGGACGTCAAATCCCGAAGTGACTGAAAACGGCCCTTATAGTACAACGCCAATTTGATTTATTCGTCTTTGGATTATGAATTCTGCTCAGGGACCAATATATTGCTATATAGAATCCATTTGAGATCGGATTTTGTGAGGCCATTACCTACCTCTTTGTAGAGCCTATTCCAAGGTGGAATGATCCCATGGGTATTTCGTACTCGTCGATGATCTTAGGCTGAAAGTTTTAGAATAGTATGTAGGGTAGCTTTTGACAGATATATGGAAGGTACAGGTCTTACATATCATATCGTTCATACATATCAACCAATAATTATGTTATTTTTATATAAAACAAATTTCCCTTTAATTTTTTTGTTTGTTTGCCGCAAACCGGCGTTATGTTTAAAGTCATTAATAAGTGAAATATATTTTGCTTGACAGTAGTCTTCAGTTGGGATCTCTTTCATGGCCTAGAGAATGTGAATCGATCAAATGACCTTGAATTTTTGAATGAAGCCGCGTTTGGATGCTGTTCTCTTACCAGTAGGAGAGGATCCACAACCACAGCACCCCATTCCCTGGATGTTTGTGCAGTTCTGCGTTGCACCCTGGCCCCTCTGATGGGTGTGTGGCGTGGTCAGTTGTAAGGTAAAGGCCGGACAATAGTAGATATTTGCTGGACACCGCTTTTTATCTACAATTTGAATGTACATTCACATTCTTACTTCAGTACCAACGCCATGTGACATTTATTTTGTACGATTGAAAACTGCTGTATCCTTCCGCGAGGGGAACTTTCACTGTTCGCTTTCGCTCGGTTTTGCTGGTTATCGCGCTCGTTGGTTTGCTCGCCTTTGTGCTTTAACGCAAACATTCGTTAGCCGGTACCGGTACTGTCTCTGTGCCACGGTACCTCAATAAACGTCCACAACCACAAGTCTCCTGGTTAACCAGCTGTAACTTGAATGTGCTGCGAGCTCGGGGTTCCCGTTCTGAAGCGCATCACGCTCGGTCGTAGTCAACGTTGCTTCAAAGGAACGGCTGTGGAAGCCAATGGTACGCCACCCAATGGGTAACGCCAAGCCCAACCAGCAACTAGCTCGCCTGAGATCCCTCGCCGGACATCAGGATGACCATTCGGACATCGTCAGGGAGCTATGGATTAAGTTCCTACCGGTCCACGTCCAGACCATGGTGACAGCACTCCTAGAAGATTCTTCGCTCGATAGGGTGGCTTCCATTGCAGACAAGATTATGGCCCGGGTTGGCAACTGTAACTCTCAAATAGATCAACGAGCGACGCGTAGCCGAAATTGGATCGCAAAGCGTCAACAAAACGAACGATCCGGCAAATTTCTACGGTACTGCATTATTAAACGATAGAATAAGCAAATAAAAACTGTACA